ACAAAATTACTTGATTCTAGAACTCCGATCGAATATTGGTCTACACCAGAGCATTTTTTTGTACAATGATATATTTTATCGCAAACACCATTGCATCTTATTCCCGTCTCTCCCCTAATTACTGACTTGCACGTACTGCAATCAGTCATTTTTGGGTTATTTTTAAGATTATTTATCAATAAATTTTTATTTTAGAAAAACTTTATGTTCACTAATAGGATTAATGTTTTTAAGTGTTTTAATAGTCTTTTTTCTATTTTTTACACTGTTTATTATTTGTTTTTAATTATTTTATATAGAGCTGTTGATTTTTGCTTGTTATCGCTTTCTCTCTTTCTCAGCTTTAAAAAGCTTCTTTATGAAGCTTTTTGCATTATTTTGAATTACAGTGTAAATTATTACATTTCTCATATTTCTTGTTGCTTGTGTTTGGGTAGACATTTAATTCTGATTTTTTCCGGTTAAACCTACATATTTCCAATATAAATCTTTTTTGCAAAAATTTGTCTTTTGTTTTTTGTTTATATACTAAAATTGCAAAAAAAGCTAAAAATGCTAAAAATATTTTATAAAAATGCTAAATAAAATGCCAAATGCTAAATTAAAATTTTACAGCTAAATCAAAATAAAAAATGCTAAATCTAGCTGCAAAAATGCCAAAATGGTCACACTGGGTAAAGTAAATCTAATATTAGAAATTCTAAAATATTAATATTTTAGAATTTCTTAACAATTTTTGTTTTCAGTGTATCTTGATTTTTCTAATTTCAAAATAAACACTGAACGTATACCACAAATAAGATTTTTCCCGCTAAAAATCTCAAAATGTGGATCGCTTTTTTGCACAAAGAAGAGAAAAAAATTTGTTTTTGTTTTTTGCAGACAATAAACATTTTACCAACTTATTTTTGTTAAAAATCACTTTAAAAAAACAATAAATAAAATGTGAACAAATTGAAAATGTTCTACCAATAATAAATAAATAAATAATTTAAATAAAAAAGACTTGAAAAAATATAGTGTTGTTTCGTATTAAAATCGGCAACAATTGTGTAGCCCTCAAAGAAAAAAATACTGACCTCTTAAGAAATCTGACAAAAAAAATTATGTTTATTCAAGATTTACGGCAAGATTTTTATAATCAATTGATTGGCAAAAGGATTTTAATTATTGTCAATTATGATATCGACGCCATTTGTGCTAGTAAAATACTACAGGCTCTATTTAAATATGACCACATGCTGTATTCTGTCGTACCCATTATGGGTTTGGCTGGTTTGCAAAGAGCCTACAATGAACATCAAGGTGATGTAAAGTATGTTTTATTGTTAAATTGTGGTGGCTGTGTGGATATTGTGGAATTGCTGCAACCCGAAGAAGATGTAACATTTTTCATTTGTGATGCTCATCGACCATTGGACGTGTGCAATATATACAGTGATCGACAGGTAAGTACTACATGTGTTTTTTCAAGTTCTATGAAGAAAATAAACGTGGATGATGATGAATTGGATAAATTTTGATTTTGATAAAGCAGCTAAATGTAGAATTTTGATTAATAAATACAACATAATTTTGAATTTTTTAAAGCTTAAGTAAAACTCCTTTTTATGGTTTATGAAGTAAATATGTAGGTATCACGTGCAAATATTCAAGCAAAAAACTGCTCACGTTACCCAAAATTGCAATTCTTATAAATATTTGTCATTAGCCTGGCATTACATCAATGCTTTATATAGGAAGCGGCAGTGCCGTAGTAAACACTGATATAATCACAGTTATAAAAGCGTGTCTTTAGAGTTTGTTATTATTGTAAGGGTTCGGCTGTGACCGAACTTTCGGATAGTATAACTGTCGCTGAGTTGACAGCCTGTGGCTGAGAATGAATCGTGTCGTTCCGGAGTCAAGAACCAATAATCGTGGGAGAACAGCAACTTAGACCATTGTTTGTCTAGTTTCGTTCTCTCTAAGTTTGGGGTGTCCGTCATTTAAGTGATATTCTCTAATATTTATTATCAATGACCAGTTTTTAGTTTATATTGAGATCATATACATACATATATAGTATGATAGGCAGTCTTTAAAAACATACCCTCAGGTGGAGGAGCTAACATTAAATAGTTTGATGGCTTCAATCGTTTTTTCTCAGACATCTACTTCACAATTGAATCTCGTCCGGAAGGAATCGCAGGCCGTACACTTAAATGTTTTTGCCGCATTGATCATCTCTCTTCGATTTGCGTATATAAAGCATCATTCTTAATGATACATTGCTGATATGTTGACATGCCACGGGTTTATTCGTGTTCATGTGCCTGATCTGTCCAGGTTGACCATTTGACATTTTCGTGATAATGAGAGAATTTACACCGCTTTAAAGTCAAGGCGCAGACCAAGATGACGCCTAATTTGAGTCAGACGCTTCCTATATTTCGAATAGACATGACTAAATGCTGGGTGGTGATCTAGTTTAAGTTCCTTTTGGACACTAGTTAGTACATAATGCAGATGATGTGAGTAGTTAGATAGAACTTTGTTCGCACCCATAGAATATTTATTCCCTTATTTCCGAAGGCTTAAGGTGATCACACCATTAATGGGAATAATGTTGTACAATAAAAAAGTTTGCTGAAAAAAGGAGCTTTTATTATTGAATGTTGTAATTTGTAAATTTTGCTGTATGGTGTCATAAACCTGCTTTTATAATTAATACTAATTAGAGTTTATAAATAAAATGTTGCAACTTTTTAAAAGTTATTGTCTTTCGATTAAAGGTTTGCATATTGGGTGATTTTTCGTCTGAAGAAAATATACCATCATTCGAAACTATTTTCTGTGATTCGGATTCCGAGGAAGAAGACGATGATGATGAAGATGATGAAATCAACGATAGTGGAGCTGGAGATTCAGATGCTGAAAATGAGGATGCAAACTCGCGACCAGAACGGCCAAAAAAATTGTCTCGTATGGAAAAACATGAACAGCGAATTATGAAACAACGTAAAAGACGTGCCTGGGAAAACGAACGCGATCGCATAATGTTCGAATACACACAATACAGTTTTTATGGACGCTCCTCGGCTATAACCATATTTGAATTAGCCTGGAAATTGTCCAAGGACAATATGGATCTTTTGTGGTGGGCTATTGTGGGCATAACAGAACAGTTGATTTTGGGTAAAATTGAAAGCAGTGCTTATACCTTGGAAATTGATAATATACAATCACATGTCTCTCGTTTAACAAATAAAACCAATGATCAAAGCAATTTGAGTGCTTCGAAGATACATTTTGAAAATGATTTGCATTTGGTTTTATATCGCCATTGGAGTGTATTGGAATCGATGCGTTACTCTATGTATGTGGCTTGCAAATTGAAATTATGGACTTTGAGAGGTGAGAAGAAATTGCACGAGCTGTTGGTGGAGATGGGTTTACCCTTGATACATGCCAGACAAACGTATACTTCCATGGATTTGGTGCTGCGCCAAGAATTCTTTTCTATGGTGGAACGTTGTGCTGAAAAATATGGTATACCAGATGTTATTTATGGTTCCTTTACCTTACAATATGGCTATCGTAATCGTTATTCGGCTGCTGATTATGTCTATTCCATGTTGTCCATTTTAGAGTCGGTTAAGAAGGACAAAACACCAGAGGATTGCTTCCTCGAGACCTTAGATGGTTTGGGACGTAATCATAAGGATATTTTAAATGCTGGCATAGAAGGAGCTAAACTTCTGCATCAAGCCATTTTCAAACAAGTACAAAGTAGTTTAGAAGCCCACCAAGTCCACTCAACTGGTTCGTTTTTCTACTATATACTCAATGAGGAAAACACTTACTTTTCATATCCCTATGGATTAAGCATGTTGGCGAAATTTATATTAAACGGTCATGTAGCAGTCTCACGCAGCCGCCAAGCACCCGACTTACCCTTGATAGCCAGCTGTCCCATAGATGCTGAAAGAGGCCTTTGCCTTTTGGTGGGTATACCTCCCGTACGTGAAGATTCGCCAAAGAATTTCTTTGGCAAAGCATTTGAGCAGGCTGCTCAAAAATGCAATGCAGCTACCTTACAGGATCACTTTGAAAGTTCTCTTATACAAATACGTCAAAATGATTTAACACGATTTTTAGATGCGTTGACCGTACTGCTTACATAATTTAATTTCTTATTTTTAAGATATTTTTTTTTATAAATTTAACATAAGTAAAAATTCCACATGAAATCTTGAATCAAAAGTAGGCATTTGGATATTCTTAAACAGCTTTTGAAAAGTTTAGAATGACCAATTAACTAATTATATAAAATTTTATTTGTTTAGTCTGTAGTTTAATTAAAATACTTAAGGGACCTTTTTTAAGAAATTCATATTTGTTATTTGGCTGAAATTTTTCTATACTCTATACCACGAACCAAATTTCCAAATTTAACTTATTGTTTCTTATATGTTTTAGATTTAAATGACTTTAGTTTGTAATGAATATTATTTGTTAAACACTTCCAAAAAAACAACAATAACAACAACAACCTTATATATTTTAGATTTTATTTGTTATTAAAAAGAAAGATCATACATATGTCATATTTAACAGCATAAAGATAAAATACAAAAAATATATTTACCATTATTTCATCACTATACTAATTAGTTTGGTTTTTTGTTTCAATTTAATTTTGTAATGGGAAGTTGAAGAAGTGTAGGGCTATTTAATTTTCACTTGCAAGTGGAAAACAAAGAGCAAATATGAAAATATCGACGTCTCAAAAATTATAATTTTTTTTTGAAGAGTAATTGATCAAAAAGTTTATTTTATTGGTCGATTATGTATGACTGCTGAACTTAGAATGCGTTGCTAGCTTACAGAACAAGACAATGATTTTAGTCTGGAAATGGCTGATCACAACTATTGAAAATAGATTTCCCCCCAAAAATAACACTTTCCGCATAAAGATTTAATAAATACACAAAAATTCTTTTCACTATTTTTATTTATATATAATAACATTGTCATGAATTTTCAAATACACTACGAAGAAATTCTGTTGTTTTTATACTTGTGGCACTAACAATGCGTGCTGAACCCAAACACTCTTTATCACTGTAAAAAACAGCATATTGTCCGGGAGTTACCGCCCTCAAGGGTTTATCCAATAATATAATTAAATCATTACAATTTTCCATAGATTTCCTATAAATTCTACATTTGACTAAAGGTTTTGTATGTTGAAAACGAAATCGACACTCCAATACATTGTCGGGATGTTCAAATGGATCGTGACATAGCCAATTGACATGGGTGGCAAATATTTTATCACTTAATAAGGCAGGATGATCATGGCCAGAGGCAACGTAAATTGTATTTGTGGCAACATCTTTTTGGGCCACGAAATAGGGCTTAAGGAAGGAGGCTAAACGACAACGTTGTCCCACAGTCCACTGATGTATGCCCTCATGTTGTCCCACCACTTGATTTGTATCAATATCCACGAAATGGCCGGGTTTGGAGGTAATGTACTAAAATGTTAAATTTTTTAATAAATTTCAAAATTTATATACAATCTATATATATGCACCTCTTTAATAAATTCCTTAAAATCTCTGTTGCCTACAAAACAAATTCCTGTACTTTCTTTTTTCTGTGTTAGACGTTCTAATCCTATGTCCTTAGCTTTCTGCTTAACTTCGCTCTTTAAGAGATCACTTAAAGGAAACATGGTCCTTTTCAAAGTGTTTCTTTCAATACCCGATAGGAAAAATGTTTGATCTTTAAATTTATCTCGGGGTATAAGTAAATTAACATCTGTAAATAAATATTAACAAAAATATATTATATTATTTTACAAAAAAGATTTTTTCCAAACATGTACCTTGATTTTCCTGATAATTTTCTAAAAAGGCACCAAAATTTGTTTTGGCATAGTGACCGGTGGCAATGGCATCATATCCTAAAGTATCCATAGCATGTTTGTAAAACAAATCAAATTTGATATGTTTATTGCAAAGTATATCCGGATTAGGAGTTAAACCATTTTCATAGTCCTCCAGAAAACTCCTGGAAAATACACAGAAACCTTCAATTACTTCAGGAATACTCGTTTAATTTTCTGATATTTGTTTAATCAACTTACGTAAATACCGAATTCCAATAATCTTTAACATAATTGACTTGTCGCAATTCAATGTTTAATTTATTACAAGTATACTCAGCATCCAATAGATCCTGTTCGCCTGTACATTGTCCCATTTCATCAAATTCATCCCAATTTTTCATAAATACTCCCAAGACATTGAAACCTTTTTAAGACAATGTGTAAACGTCTTATTTAAAGGTCGTAATAATAGAAACCACAAATAATTTACCTCTTTCCTTTAATAGGAATGCACTAACAGCACTGTCAACACCACCGGAAATTCCTATTACAATGTTGCGAAACATTTTTGAGGATTTTTTCTTTTTAGGGACTCCGATTTTTTTTAAATAAAAACATTTACAATAATAACAATAACAAAAGCCAGCTGTTTAAGCAGTGTGTTCAGTGAGGGACTTTTTTAAACATGTGTTTTTATAGGGTTTTCAGTGATTTCTTCATGGCTATTTTAGAATAGGCGATTAGGAATTAATTCTTCTCGAGGTACTATATATCTTAAACCTTATAGACATTTTTCCATCATGTAGCGTAGACGGTTATAAACAGATTTTTGCAATTACTGTTATCAAAATATATATTAATACCATCTTTTGCTTCAATGATCTGGTGGACTCCTTAGGGCAAAACCAGTCACAGAATATGTTTCGAACTTAGAAACAATGATCCCAGATAGAATATCATGGTATAGCCGAACATTGGAGCAAATAACCGTAGGAATGCATTGCTACGCGGATGACTCTATGCTGGAGTACAAACGGCCCTGGGGTTATACATTGAAAAACCAAAAACAGAAATATACTACCGTTTACATAGTCACAACGCTTCCAAGCAAAAGTGCATGCGAAAGTCCTCGTTGAATATGTCGCCAACTCCTCCTTAGAATGATAAGTATGATGTTTCGTATTCTAAGTGGATTCAGACTAATATAGATCATGTGTAGAGGACATTGAATCTCTGGAGCACTTCCTTTGCCATTGCCAGGCTTTGGTCAAAATTAGATCCAAATATCTTTCGAGCGATATTAGTCCGAAAATAACATTTCTCACATACACAGATTGGAAAATTCATAGGCATTACATCCAGGCAACTGAGTTTCTAAATATCTGATGATAATACCCACAAGCATTTTTATTGAAAAAGAACGCAAAACAGTTCCTATAGTGGATAGTATATTTCTTAAGATTTTATGTACATAGTATATGTCCACCTCCAACCTAACATAAAGTTAAGAAGATTATCTAAATAAAAAACATATATCCTCCGGTAGGTTAGTGGTTAGTGTTCTAGTCTGGTAGACCGTAGGTGGTGGTTTCGATTCCCACCTGATTCACTGGTTAAGGAGCGCACAACAGCCCCGATAGAGGCCTAGGTGTATTTCTATGGATTTAATGTATATACATCCTCCTTTCAAACTAACTAACTATATCTGATTTTCACATATCATGGTTATATTTACAATGTCACTCGTATGAATTCTACTGTCAAATGATACCAATGATTAGAGTCGTGCACAAACGGGGAAGAACCGGACACAACGAATGTGAAGGTTTGGATGGAAGCTGTCTATGTTAATGCTGAAGCTACTTAGTATGATAGGTTCGGATATCTTACCCAAATGCTGAAACTCTCGATTCAATTGGTGATTCTAGATATTTGGAATTTCGTGGTATCTACATATATACTGAAACCAGACAAACCCGATATTCAAGGAGTATCATACCACACATTATTTTAAAATATCTACTACTATCATTTTAGAAAAGTCGTTTTCTACTCGTCACACTCTAGGATAGTTCCAGAGAAAAGAATAGCACAATTACTGCCCTTATACAGATGAACTTCAAGATCTTAATCTGCAACGACCGTGTCAACGCACTATTGTTGCAGCTATTTTTTAATCAGGGCACCTCTATACGGTCATGTTGAATATGAACCACTGATCCTCACAGAATTTGCTCCTCTTAGAGCTATGTTTGAGATCGACTGGGTTGACACAGTTTCTTTCCTTTACCACCTGCATAGAGATCTAAAAGATTAAGCTGAGCTGAAGATATATACAAGTATTGAGTCCTAAAGTTTTAAAAAATCACAGTTTTTGGCCATTTTTCAGACGTTTTGTAAAATCGAATCTGTTTGTAAAATCTGTTATGTCATCTGAAAGTCTAATCTGTCTATATTAAACTGAAAGAAATGGCGAAGAAAGATGTAGATATAACCAATGTTAAGCTTGTATTTTAAAGTCGACAGACTGAACTCTCGGATGACATACCAAATATTATAAACAAAGATGTTTTCGACTTGTTATAACGTTTTGAAACGATATCTCGAAAAGCTGATGTGATGGGGAAGCCATCATTCGAGAAGCCAGATTTGATTTTAGAGCAGCCCAATCCTTTAGAAAATCATACTTTGGTCTCTGGGTTTCAACTTTTTTTTTTCAAATTTTGTTGGCCTGTGTTATTAAGAGTTTTCAACACCCTGCATGTTACGCGTAATTTTGCTAAAAACAAAGCCAAGGTGAGTGTTAAAAATGAAATTTAGTTTTCTTATCTAAAACCTGAAGTAGCAAAAAAAAAAGGAATAAAACCTACAAAAATGCATCTTTAATAAATTTTCGGATATTGCGCACTCAAAAGAGTGTTCCACAATGTGTGGAGGATAGCTAAAAGAGAGAAAATTTTATGTTTACATTCCACATAAGGATACAAACAGGTTGATAGCAACGATGTTACAGATACAATTGAGAGAACTACAGCATCAGTTTAACTAGAACTTTGAACCTTAAAACTTGGCAAACGGCAAAAAAACGCATAAAACGGAAACGAAAAAAAATTATAAAAAATAAAAAATTAAAAAATCTTGATGAAACGGAAACAAATTAAAGTGTTACAAAGATTTTCAATTTAGCAAAAATTTAAAAAGTGAAAAAAGTTTAAGAAAGTTGTTTATTTCTGTGTTGAAGTGGGTGTTAAAAAAGTATATTTGGTATTGTTATACACACATATACAAACATACATATGTATATTACATATGAATACATATACAAATATAACTGAATAACATACTTACATTACAACATCCTATGAATTATAAATGTTAAAAAGGAATTTAAAATTTTATTTAAATTCACACCTCTCAATATACATAAGTAATACAAACAATTATTCGCATACATTTGTAACCGACCCCATATTGCTCTAAACAGCCACACAAATTTTTCATGACCACAAACAAGGATTGTGTTTATTTATTCAGCATTCAGCTTCCCTGGCACACACAACACACACACACACTTATCTTCACACAACACAAAAAGGATGCGTGCTCCATTATAATAGTTTCGTAAATAAACCGTTTATTATTATTGTTTCTTTTCCTTTTGTACAACCATGAACATTTTATCTTAGGAAATTAAAAGCTTTGAAAAACTTATTTGAATTGTTTTTGTTATTATGAGTTTTATTTAGAATAATGTTAATAGAAGTACTGCGTCATAGGGAGGCAACGTTTTGCAAATCATTTAAGATGTAATATTTGTTAAAAATATTCCACTTTTTATGACCTCCGTGAGTGTCTATACAAGTATATATATTCCGACTCCTTATAGATAGCGGAATCGTTTAACCATGTATGTCTGTCTGTCCGCATGTTTGTTGAGATCAATTTTCTGAAGACTCCAGATATTTTCCAGATCCAAATCATCAATAATTCTATCTGACATACTCTCCAAAGGTTTTCCATTTACAATTAGCAAAATCGGTCTATAACTAACTCAGATGTCAGCAAAATTACGAAACAATCCATGTTTAAGAAAAATTCAAATTTCGGTGCTTATCCCAAACACATAATTGTTACCCTGGACACTATGTATGTACATCAAATGAAAGGTCAAAAACTTTTTTCATTATCTGGTGATAAACCCAAAACCATTCGAAGCAACGAGGACTGCATTAATAATATGGTTGAGAGAAGCCCATAAGGTCTCTTGCGATAATAAAACGGTGGGTAGAACCAAAAAACTCCTATAGACACTAACGTGAGGAGTACGAGAAGACTCCTCAAAATGAGGAAGTCTGAGCTTAGTATGATGGTACGTATTTTGAGTAGACACACAAGATTAAGGGCACAACTATACAAAATTGGACACGCGGATTCAGACAAGCATGTAGAGGGTACAGTGAAACTTTGCACTTTATTTGCCATTGTAAGGCATTCGTCTATTATTTATTCAAACTCTCACGAACACTTAGTAGAAAATTTTAAGGAGTTACGTCCATAAAACAGTTGCTGAACATTGGACGATAATACGTTCAATACTATTATATAAGGTTTTTGTTCTGACCAACAAACGTTTTTCATGAAAAAAAGCGCACGGATTTGATATAGTATAAATCCTTTATCAACCTAACATAAAAGTTTCATTTTCTTAAATCCTTGATATCAATATAACCGAGACTGACTGCTAATAATAATTTTACAATAAAGATTTGGCGTATCCATCAGTCAGGCAACCACATGAGCAAGTCTTAACCTAAATTAAGTTTAGCTCATTACACACATTAGGCCATTAACCTATAATCACTCCATGCAATTTTGGGGTTTTTGAAAACAGGCACCATGTGATTTCGAGGCGACCTTACCAACAACCAGAACAGAATAAGGAATTCTGGACAGTTACGAGTCGAAACTCTTCCAGTTTTAGATTAGATTATTATTAGATTATTTGGGTTAAACCACTATTAGGGAACTTTTAATGATATCATGGCTTACCGATTGCATTTACTGTGTTATCCCAGCCCCTCCTTAAAGTTCCATAATGACCCGAAATTCTCTCCAGAACTTTCTGTTCACAAATCTTTTTAAATACCATTATCGTAAATTTGTTGTTTTTTTATTACTTTTTATTCTGAAAATATTTCAGAAGTATTGGATACACATATGTATAATTTTGCTATAAAATTGCAGCATTTTGGCTGTTACTTTGTTAACAGTGCACTGTTAACTGCAAAAAGAGCTATATATAAAAGAGTCGCATTACTGACTGATTCATCATCGCACAGCCCAAACAGCTGTACCTAGAATCATGAAATGTTGACAGTAGATGTGTTTTTGTTTATGTTGATCCGCTAAGGAGGGATTTTTTGGAAATTTGTACATTTAGGGGTAAAAAAGGGAAATACGGCTAAAACAGGTTTTCTTAATTATCTTACCCAATATTAGTGATACAAGAAAAGTTTTAAATGTATCTACTCTTAGCAGATGGGTGTCTGGTACTTTTTTGAAATTCGTACTTTTAAGGGGTGAAAATGTGTAACAATGGTGATTTTGGCCCTTTATAACTTTTTAACTAAAAAACGTAATCAAATTTTTGTAAATATTTTGAATATATCTTCCAAAATTATGAGACACCTGAGACACTTTTTTAAAATTCTGTCCTTTTTTGGTGTAATAGGGTACTATGCCCTATATAGGACCTAATTCGGTTAAATTGTTTGGTACTTTTTGAAAGCACAATTTTTCTGGAACAAATCAATGCAAATTTGAATCGTTTGAGTTTCATGTGTGATATATAGATTTAAACACGGAATGTTTAGTAAACTTCATTCTCGAAAAAGTTTATTTCTAGGCGAAAAGGGGTAAAATGGTTCTGCATTTACTACAAAAAGAATTTAATAAATTAATTAAAAAATAGTAGTGTCTAAAAGACAAGAACTAGTCTTGATAACATTTTCTAAAAATATTCCTAAATGATCTTTAATTTTGGGTCCGCTATTTTTAAGAAAAATAAAAGTAATTGTTTCTTTGTAAACTTGTGTTATGTACATATGTATGTGTGCAGTATATGTGTTTAATTACAAAATACTTACAGTTATTTCACCCAGTAAATATATGAGTATTTGTTAAATTGTGTGGCCTCGTCTCAAGTATATTATTCGATTGTTTTCAAAAGTACTCATTACAAATGAATGAATACACCACAAAAAAATAAGAAAAAAACAAAAATCATTTTGTAGAACTATTTCAAGAGTTTACATGTAAGTATGTAAATAAAAAAAATATTTTTTTAATTTAAGTTTTTCTCGTATTTAAGTCGTATTTATGTACTTCTGATCACTTTAACTATAATAATAGAATGATTACTAGGGTGATTTTCGAAATAGGGGGCACAATTATGGTGATCTATGGAAAATTTTAAAAATCTAATAGTTTTTCAGATATACGAAATTTTGTATTTAATTCATATGGGAGGTGCCAATCCACCATTGAAAGTCTGTCAAATTGACACTAAAGTGGCTTCGACAAAATTTGAAGACTCTAACTGTTATAATATCTCAGATATTCTGATTTAATATTTTCTTAATATGGACGTGGCTCCTCGCCTTGAAATTGCAAAACAAAATTTCACGAAAATCGGTGCAGCCGTTTAGCAGTCTATAAACTACAAGCATAAAAACATACAAACATACAAACAAACACACACTCATTTTTATATGGACAAGTAGATAGATAGATCGATAGATAGATAGAAAGATAGATAGATAGATAGATAGATAGATAGATAGATAGATAGATAGATAGATAGATAGATAGATAGATAGATAGATAGATAGATAGATAGATAGATAGATAGATAGATAGATAGATAGATAGATAGATAGATAGATAGATAGATAGATAGATAGATAGATAGATAGATAGATAGATAGATATATAGATAGATAGATAGATAGATAGATAGATAGATAGATAGATAGATAGATAGATAGATAGATAATCTGGAATGCTGATTGTTTATTCCAAATTTTCCTTATATCGCGCTAATATAAAACGTGATCCAAAAACATTTTATAAATATGTTCATTCAAAAAGAAATTCCGAATCTTTCGAATCTATCGAACATGTCTTTAAAGTATGGCTACTTCCCGAAATTTTGGAAAAACATCATTTATTCTTCTGTTTTTTAAATCGGGGAATAAATCCAATATAATGAGATATCGCTATACATAAATTATTTAAACAATACCTCACTGATTTCTTAAGCCGTCCATTCCAACATGGTTTTCGTAAAGGATGTTCTTCGATTACAACAAATTTGTTAGAACTTACAACGAAGATTAATAGTAGCTTCATAAATGGACTCTACACTGATGTCATATACACCGATTTCAGTAAAGCCTTCGACAGCGTTAACCATCATCTTGTTTTACATAAATTGTACTTAATGGGTTTTACCAACTGCTGTTTGGAATGTATAAAATCTTATATGTGCTGAACAGCGTGTGCGTTTTAATAATTCCTCATCTAAAACTATTTCTGTCCATTCTGACGTTCCGTATTTCGGACTAATTCTATTATTGTTGTATATTAACGACCTTCCAACCACATTTAAATCATTCAATCTTCTTATGTATGCTGACAATGTAAAATTTTTATGTTATGTACTTGGTTTTTTTAAACGATGGTCAAGAGAATTTCCGATTCATCTATATGAAAACAGTTATATATAATGCTTGTGGGACCTATAATCGAGTATGCATCAATTGTCTGGGATCCATTTTATAACGTTTCAAAAACAATTTCTGTTATTCGTTTTACGGAGTTTTTATCGTAATCCTTCTATCCATCTTCCTCCATACAGAACTAGGTTACAGAAACTTAATCTACCAACTTTAAAAGCCGCCGTACAATGCTGAATGTTAGTAAGAGCCTTTATCAATTTAATATTTTCAACAAAATTTTGCTAATGCTGATTCATTTCGTCGTATGTGTCAAAATTTTAATGAGCTGTACAACTAGGCTTGCCAGATTTGAAATCAACGAAAAACGTACATCGTAGTTAAAAAAGCAGTACAATTGAATAAAAAAAGTACAATTGTTTATTAAAAAAAAAAATTAAATTAAATTGTTCTAAAAACGCTATATTGACATTGGTTGCTATGATTTTTCACAAAAAACAACTTAAATAAAACTAATTTATGACAATAAAATTAATCCAATTACAAATCATTGTTTTTAATATTAGTGTGCTATTAATTTATATATTTTCTTTAAAAAGTGTAAAATTCCCTAAATTTTAGTTTCGTTTGGTTTGTTTACATTTTCAAATATCAACCATTTGTTGTGAACATATGTTTGATATCTTTTTATGGAGAAAAAATGTCCAGTAAAATATAAAAATTCTCTATCTCTAACTGTTACAAAAACGTTACAACTTTTACCCTGCTACAAAAAATAAGAATAGCAGTATAGTTTTTTAAAAATCGTTCCACAGCGGGACTGGATAAAGCTATCGAATAGGTACCTACACGACGGAGCATTATGCATTACATTTTAACATTCAAACATGTCCTTCACATTTGCTGTCTTTTTTTATGCCGAAAATTCATTAAAAACTTTCATTACAGTGATATCTTAATCAAAATTTAACAACTTTAAAGCATTTTGAATAAACGCACTATTTTATGTATGACAAATGCATCGAAACCTCTAATAGTTGAATTTGCCTTTCTGAGCTTAGTAAATCCACTTTCAAACTATGTATCTCTGAAGTCCTTAAATAGCGATTCTATAGAATATTTGTATATGGTCATGATTACATCTATAAAATTATGGTTAAATTTAAAAAAGAAGTACAAATACTAAAAAGAAGTACATTTGCGTACTTCTTTAGGGGTTATGAAGTTAAAAGTACAATTACTAAAAAGAAGTACGCGTACTGTTGAAAACAGTACGTCTCACAGTGGTATAGGAAAAAAAAGAGGGAAATAATTCGGTAACTTCTAAACGGTTAATCCGATTTTAATGAAATTTGGTATGCACAAAGAGGAGGTGTTGTCGAGTTTAGGTTTTGAATTTGGACCTTATAGGCCAACCAGGGGCCCGGCGGGGGGTCCTCAAATTAGGACACCTCGGCTATGTTAAATTTTTAAAACGATCCTATTTCTTCATTTGAGTTCCGATTTAAAAAAAATTTCGTATATAGAATCTCCTCATCGAGCACTATAAGCAGTAAATTATCTCTTATAGTTTAGGAGATATTCGCATTTGAAAATTAAAATTTTAAAATTTTTACCGTCCTTATTGCAATAAAAATTTTATTTATGAATATTTTTTGATGAAATTTTACAGTTAGGTAGATTTTTTTACTCAAAATCCAAAATTAAATAAAAATTTCGAATTTTCTTATTAGAAATCCCGGAATTCCCAAAAAAGTTTTAAAAAATCCCAAAAATGGGATTTTTTGGTTTTTTGCCTATTATATCCATACCAGGGGCGGGGTTATCGAAACCCGTTACAAAATGATTAAGAACATATTGGGTCATATAAAACAGGTCACTATAATTTGATATCGACTATGCGATTTGAGAATTTTTGCTCAAAATTTAATTTTCCATAAAAAATAGGGTTTTTTTGGATGGACCTGGTCCCCTCGGTATCAAAAATTTTTAGGTTTTGTTTCATTTATCGTATTTTATGTAAAGTCAGCTTTCCAAAAAGTATAAATTCTATATACATCTTCTTAGAAACTTTTTAGATAACTTAAAAAGAAAAAGATACTTTTTTCCCAAAAAAATGACAAAAAATCGCCTTTTTTTAATTTTTTAAATTAAAATGCCTATAACTTTGGACTCAGTCATGATTTTTACATAATTCTTTCACTGCTTGATATATAAACTTGTTGTTAAGCGAATAAAAAAAATGGCGAAAATCGGGAATATTTGGACCCGCTATTATCAAAAAACTAAAGTAAGGACGGTAAAAATTTTAAAATTTTAATTTTCAAATGCGAATATTTCCTAAACTATAAGAGATAATTTACAGCTTATAGTGCTCGATGAGGAGATTCTATATACGAAATTTTTTTTAAATCGGAACTCAAATGAAGAAATAGGATCGTTTTAAAAATTTAACATAGCCGAGGTGTCCTAATTTGAGGACCCCCCGCCGGGCCCCTGGTTGGCCTATAAGGTCCAAATTCAAAACCTAAACTCGACAACACCTCATCTTTTTGCATACCAAATTTCATTAAAATCGGATTAACCGTTTAGAAGTTACCGAATTATTTCCCTCTTTTTTTTTTTCCTATACCACTGTGCGTCTGACAAGCCTATGTACAACATTATTGATACATCCTCGAGTAGTCCTGAGTTTTACTTTCTGGAGGCCTATTTCGTAAAACTGTGCTCGTAATTCTGTGAGTCCACTTAGAATATGTAGCATGATAACAACTTTTAGACTTGCTGATTTTGAGGAGACTTCTCGTCCTGCTTTCGTTAGACCCCATAAGATCTTTGTGGTTCTTCCCATTGTTTCTTTTTTCTAAGAGATCTTATGGGATGCTCTCACCCATATCTTTAATTCAGCCCCCATTGCGTCGAATAGTTTTGCGTTTGTCAGTTTAACGTTCGTCATTTTAACTAAATGGTTAAGATCGGTCCAATATTTCTCCTAGTTCCCATACAACTGTTATGATTATAACATAGAACCCTCGGCTAGTTTTGTCCTCCAGTTTAGAGCCAACGGTTTCCTACCGGTGTTTGCTCTAATGTCTCGCTTGACTTATTCTACTTATATGGGATCAGTGTTTCAATGCTCCCGTTATATTATGTGTCTGGCATGAGATCGAGAACAAGAAGTCGAAGTGTTTTCGAAGTGTTAGACGACTTACCACCTTCCCTTTGTGTATCTTACAATTTTTGTACATTGGTACTGCCGGTCCATGTACTAGCATTTTGCCCAAGTGCTCGAGCTATCTAATATCTGACCATTGCTGCTCCGAGATTCAAAAACATCATTTCCTTTTGTACATTGGTTCTGCCGGTCCATGTACTAGCATTTTGCCCAAGTGCTCGAGCTGTTTAATATCTGACCATTGCTGCTCCGAGATGCAAAAACATCATGTCCTTTTACAACCACGCAAATGGGATGACTCTGTTGATTCGAAAATACGAATTCATCAAATAAGCCGAGGACTTGTTCTTACAGAAAACATACTGTGGTAAATCTGGTATGAACCGAGTAAGCCCTAAACACACCCG